TTCCCTCTCGTGTGAGTGTGTGTGTGTGTGTGTGTGTGCGCGTGTGTGTGTGTGTGTGTGTGCGTGCGCGCGCGCGCTGATGTCTGGTGTCGTACTGCAGCAGTGACTAGACAAATTTGTGCATTTTGCATAGATAAACACCTCGGCCTTATCTGAAGACTTTTTAAAGTTGGAATGCACACTTGTCCAACTAGCTGCTTCTGTTTGGTCGAATCGGATCGGAAAATCAGACTGCTTCATGACCGCGCAATATCAGGTTTAATAGGCGTATAGTACAGCGAGGGTGAGTTTTGACCTCGGGTGATTAAAAAAAGACTATGTGGGTGCTTTTGTTTAACGCGTACTGTCTATCATATCGTTTTATTTTTAAAGTATGTATTTTTAGTTGCCTGCCGTCATTATTGAAACGTAGATATCAAACAGGAGAGACGCATGGCGTTCGCCGTCCAATCAGTACTTATTACTGTAATATGGTGATTCCTGTGGTTGAGTTATGCTGTAGATATGTAGATATACAACGGTTGTTGCTGAATACTGAACGAACTGTTCCTAACTTTGTCGCACATGAATTTTTCCTTTATCTGGTTGGGTCGATATATTACGGCTTCAGGGCACACTACCAGTAGACCCATCTCTTGAAGTGTGAAATTGACAAGAATAAAACATTTTGGCCGGCGCCCTATGTTATTGTACACAAATCTTCCTGTTCACAGCACAGTTATGTTTTCCCATAACGGCATAATGTGCCGACTAGCTGCATAATTTCTCGTAGTGGCTCTATGAAGAGGTTTTTGATTCTTATAAACGTGGGAAATGTCGATAGCTTTCTAGCTGTCAGTATTAGCCTCTTTAAAATTTACACCGTCCATCACTGCATTCTGCGCGAACAAGTAAACAGAAAAAAATATGATCCTGATCTTGTGACTCATGGGGTACAATAAGCTTTTGTGATTGGTTGTAGGCCTACACATTCCGAGTGTTCAACTGGACTCCTTGAAAAACAAACTCGTTCGTTTTTGAAAAACCTGGCTGCCCCTGACTGAGCTCGACTGGAGTTCAATTTGCCGTGTTCTCTGGGCACTAAGAAATTACGACGATTGCGCGTGACACCCCCCTCCCCCCCCACTCCACCCCACCCCCACCCCCACATACACACACGTACCATCTCATCAACGAATCAAACCATAACCCCCCAAGCAAACACCTTCGATTTCTGCAAGTCAGATTCTGCAAAATCGACACTGGATTTGTCTGATCGAAACGTAATGTCCCTCACCATTCTACAAGCAGCAAAATCGGTTTAGTACAAGACCCACCTAAGACTGAATAGAGCAGGTGTTTATCTCTTTGTGTCATTCATTCGAAAAAAAATAAAGACGTCAGTGAGGTCAATGCGTGTAGGAGTTTCACGTGTCGGGGGGAATCCTATCGAGTTGCTTCTTGCTGCGCTCGACGTATTCACGGTCAACTCTAGTGGGCCGTTGGCAGATGCTCTGGTGTGGTTTGCCCCTTCCTTCTCGTCAAACGTCTCTTGTCCTTATCTCTTCTCTTTCTTTTTGTGTTTGTTATTCCCTTGTAACACTTCTGATCTTCGGCACTCATATGACCTAATTGTGTTGCAATTGCAAATGCCGTATAACTGTAACTAAAACAAAGCTGTGACAATGGTGTGTGTGCCCACTAAATAGGCCAATGGGTTTTCAGTGAGTACACGTGGACAGGTATGCCACATTATTATGAATTACCGTGATGGTTATGATGTTCGACGATACCCCCCCCCCCCGTCTCTCTCTCTCTCTCTCTCTCTCTCTCTCTCTCTCTCTCTCTCTCTCTCACACACACACACACACACACACACACACACACACACACACACACACACACACACACACGCACACTCTCTGGCAGTCTGTGAGAAACATCAGGTGCGCTTTGTTTTGCTCCCTAATTGTTTTCCCATCATATACATGATCCCGAAGACGTTGTTATCTCATGACCTGGCCAGTAACATGTGACGTTGTCATGTTGTTAACTTCTGATTTATTCCCTCTTTGCTCGGCCCCCTCGTACAAAAATTAAATGTTGTTTGTTTCCCACTTCATGTTTATCGTTTTGAAGCGCCCCCCCCCCCCAAAAAAAAAAAAACCCACACAAAAAACAAAAACAAACAAAAAACAACCAACAACCCCCAAACAAAAACAACCACCACCACCACCAACAACAACAAAAAACAACACGAACCAAATTTTTTTAAAAAATCCCCTCTTCTTCTACCCGTTCTTGCTGTCATCTCCAACCATAATCCCTTATCTACTCCCGGTTAGGTTCTTCCTTGTCACGCGTTTCATGTTTTTAACATTTCCCCTTCTTCATCACGTTTTCACTTTCAACTACAAGAACAACAACAACAACAACAACAACAACAACAACTACAACAACAACAACAACAACAACAACAAACATACTTACAGTTTATGCCTCGCTCTATGTCCCCTCTCTTCCACCATTTTTCTTCCCTAAGTTGTTCACTTTATTTATCGTGTCAAAATATTCCCAGTACCGCCGTCTCTTTTTTTCTTCTGTATTTTCCTACCACTTCTATTGTTCCCATCACCTTCACGCTCTACATCTTTTCTTTGGCCGTTAACACTGAGTCCGGGACATACTATGCTGAGGTGTAGAACCAAATTTGTGGTCGTGAGACAAAATGACCTAAAAAAAAAACATGTTCAGAAGACTTAACTTTAAGTTGTGTCACTCCTTTGTATGGTGGGGCACGGTATGGTATAGGTTTCCTCCCCATCCTAACTTTAATAACAATGCATAGTTATTTGAGAGGCATGACTCATGACTGATAAGACCGAACAACAACTCAGGTTCATGACGGTCGTAATGGTGATGACGACGGTGCTGCTGCTGCTGCTGCTGCTGCCGATAATGATGATAATGCACTAGACTTTTTTTCAAACTCTGCAAGTGGTTTGGGTGTGAATTGCCCAAACACGCCAACATTTGTTTTTAATACAATTAGTGTTTTTACTCCACCCACGTCGACAAAATTAAGGTAGTTTAGAAAGTGGGCGGGCCAACCCGTGCTTAGAGGGATGAAATTTGCCAGGATATAGAAATTTTCCCCACTCGGGAATCGAACTCAGGTCTACTGCGTACGACAGTGAGGCGCCTAACCACTACACCACAGATGCGGGGATTACCCTGCGTGATTCAGCATTATTATTGAGAGGCATACGTTGTATTAGGACCTACTTTACAAACCGGTGCACCTTGAGATTAAAATAATCTAAATAACACTATGTTTTGTTTCGTAATTTGGAAGGGTCACTCGAGTTCACAGTCACCACAATACCGAAGTTACAGCCACCGGCCCTGAGTTCTAAATCATCTATTGGCTGATCGGTGAAAATTATAGGGCTCGGAACTCGGGTGCTGGTTGGCTAACGCATACAGGAACGCCCACCACGTGGAAACAGTAGGCTGAGGGGGCAGCCTTGGGGTTTCGGCTTTCGCAATAAACAGATCAGCGTTCTTCGCTTCCTTTCCTCCTCTCCCCTTCCCTTCCTTCTCTCCCCTCTTCCGTTCTTCTGCACTTGTTTTTTTTTTTTCGTGCCTTGGTCTTTCTTTTTACCAAGGTCACAGCGCTGTCAGACCAGCCGGTATCTAATTTGCATAGTATTATCGTGACATTTGCCCATGTGACGAGGCGCCCATTTATATGTATGGCTGTTTACGCCAAACTTCTCAGTGTCAGTGGGGATCTGAGCGGGTCTTGCGTGCACTTTCATACGGTTATGTGTGTGTGTGTGTGTGCGCGCGGAGTCCGGGTTGCTGGAGACACAAGGTGTGATTTCCACTCTTTTACATTTGCAGTAAATTTTTGTTACGCTATACGACGAATTGTGATGTCCTGTGCTTTTCTCTGGACACATGCGCCGGAGATAAATCTCAGTAATGAATAGGGGCAGTTATTAACCATGTCAGGGTAACTGTGACCTTCGCTTTAATGAATTAAAAAAACAAAACAAAAAAAAACCCCAACAAAAAAAACAACCCCCCCCCCCAACCAAATAATAACCACCGAGCTGTAGCTACATTGTACGTTTTGTTGTTGTTGGGGGTTTTTTCACCACCGAATCAAAAAGTTTTTGTTTTTTTGTTGTTGTTGCGATTCCTCGAATTTTGTCATCGGTTCTTGTTTTTCAAGTTCAAGGAAGATTACCATTGTACGGTTCGTGCTTTACAGAATTCGGTGATCGGAAAATACAACGTTAGAAAAAAAAATGTTTCTGACAACTGAGTTGGACGTGAAACATTTCAAGAAAAAGTTTCCTTTTGTTCAGTACGTATGCTATATTTCCCCTTATTATCTTCCGAGAACTGTTTCATTTCGGCGATTTAATTGAATCTGTAATTTTACTGAACCGGACAGAAAGGACAGAGTAAATGTTTGTACATGTATCCGCGAATGTCACTGGCCGTGAAGGATTTGTTCAGCCCCCCTAAAATACACACATTTTCTTCTTTTATCAAACAAAGTCCAGGTCCGCACTCCAATTTACGCCTGGCTCTTGTGTGGACAGTCAGATTAAGAGAGAAGCGTGTTGTGTTCCGGGGGCGAGAGTGCCGTGCTCACCTTGTAGTTCAGCAGAACCATGCACAGTGGGCTGATATTGAAAATAGTGTAAGGAACCCCCCCCCCCCCCCCAATAAACTTGGAAGTGTCCTCGGGACTCTAACAACATTTGTTGTCTGCTCAAGTATAAACATCTACACAGATTACAACAGCAAACTCACCTACAACGCGTTCCCATCGATCCGGAGCTCAGAGAATAGGTTGGCGGTTTTTACCTTTACTTTCCCATTCAGCCGAGTGGGTACCATTGTTTATTAGGCAAACCGTACAGTGTTCAGCTGTGCAGACTGTCCCGGCAACTTGCCAGTGAAGTCACTTGTAAAACATTTTCCCCTTTAAAATAATGCGTACTGATGCAGTGACGAATGTTAACTCGAGGAAGGGTGGCGCACAGGTGTGTTATAAGCTTGCTCCTGCCTTTTCAAGTACATTTTACTCTGAGCGCGTTGTGTTATCTCGGGAGTAGGCCTTGTGTTTAGATTTCGAAAGTGGATTTTAATTTTACAGTTTTTTAAAAACATGTTTAAATTTAATAACTGCCCCTGTGATTTTTACTAAAACGACCTTCCCAAAACGTTAGAGGCTTTTGTTATTTCTTTTTCCCGCCTTCTTTGTTCCAGTGTAGTGCACATGGAAAGGTTGTTTTATCATTTCACTGTTGACGCTCCAAGATGTAACTGTGTCTTTTAAACGATTAAAAAACAATTCTGCATCATTTCTTGATGAGGAAAGAACTCGACACTTTATGACCGATCAAGTTTGCCGATTTGCGACGTGCTGGACTACAGGACTTCCACGTGTGGTGAGAATTGATGTCGTGGGATTTCGACGCCCACTATATGGTCAGTACTGTGATGTTTTCATAATACCCGAGGACGTACCCGTGTAATGTACAGAAGCTCGTCTCCTCCAGCAGTTTTATTTTATTCTCCACAACATTCACCATGCCCCGTTCCGTCCGGCAGTCACACTCTGGTCCTGTGCTAAACGTGCCGAACACTGACGAAGACGTGAGCAATAACAACGTCTTGTCCAGCTACCATCAGCAGCACGACATCATGGCTTTAGGAGGCAACTCCACTTCTGACGCGATGCACGTGGACAGCGATGTCCACGGCTCATTGCTAGATAACAGTAATTTTCTTGACAATTCTGGGCTTCACCTCGTCTCTCCTCTTATCGATAACGAGGAGGGGTCTGAGGGGGGATTACACCCCCACCCTTGGGATAAGAGTGCCAATCCCCTGAAAAATCTCCTGGGCAGATCTCCTTCCTCAAGGGACTTCAGAACCCAATGTTCCTCAGACGATCCGGCCTTTCAAGATTTTGCTGCGAATATTCACAAGAGTTCGAGCAGTCACAACTTTTTAGAACGTTCAGGTCAAGTGGGGCACCTGAGTCTGCATGCTGAGTTAGAACAAGCAGAGCGACAGGTGGGTGAGAGCAGTGCTGGAAGCAGCAGGTGTCTGAGAGAGCAGCTGTCCATGCCGGATCGAAAAGAAGTCTTCAGGGACGCTAGTGAGTCGTTGTCGACTCCGGAATCTGGGTCTGCCAAGGAAACCACTGTACTCGGACACTTTAAGACGAAAAGTGTGAGCAACTTGCTGGCTCACGCTCATGCGACGGCAAAACACTCTGTGGAGGCTGTGGTGAGAAAAGCCTCAAGCCACGCCGACCTACGCCGCGCTGCCTTCTCCTCAGGCCGCCCTTGTCTGTCCGTGGAAGTGCCTGGAGTGGTGTCATCTGCTGGTCAGCACCCAGCTCCCTCTGGATTTGACATCATGAAGAAAAGTTCAAGTAGTATCGATCTGGGCTCTATTCATTTCGATAATCTTGAACCTGTCAGTGTCTCTGACCTGTACCGCCGGAGACAAGTGAACAGTCCCCATGGAGATGCAACTGACATCACAGACGCAGCAGGTGTTCGAACTCCCAAGAATCATTTGAACACTGACTCGGGTAATGTGGCACCAAACTCTTCCTCCCCTTGTGGGAAGCTACTGTACGTGTCCGGACTGGCCAGGAGTGAAAGTTCCTTGCCGCAGCTCTCTAATCTCAATGACTACTGGAGTGACACCAGCAGCTCGTGCACCACACCGCGGGCTCACACCCCGGGTACATCGCCACAGTGGCTCACACCCAGCACCACGCCCATGCCCTCACCCAGACACTCCGCTTTCTCCTGCCCCGGCTCCCCGAACCCCACGTACAACATAAATCAAACACCTGATGCCTCCCCTTCACAGTCTCCACGACGATCGTTCGACAATGGAACCAGCTCCGCAGATCATGGTAGCGTGTTATCGTTTCACTTTGACAACCGGGGCTCCTCGTCCAGAGAGCGCCGTATCAGCGAGACCACGGAGATGACGGACTCTGATGCTGACTCATCCACTACCCTTCCGCACTGTATGTCCTCTGATAGCAGCGACGCCAGCATGGAGGCCCAGGCTGAGACTGAGGACTTCGGCATTCCTGGTAGCAACAGCAGCGACGCCGGTGATTATGTCAACTATGGCGCTGGCGAGAACTTAAGTGACGCTTCTGTCTCGGGGGTGGGTGGTCCTCCATGTTACGCACATGACAATGAGAACGTCGAGTGTGATGGTGGTGAAGGTTGTGAGGATAGGGAGTTCGATTGCAGCGAGGGAGGAGTCATTCCGGGAGTGTTGGACTACCACCAGGAACTTGCGGACTCCCAGGAGGAGGCGGACTCCTCCCCATTTCCTCAGGACGCTAGTTATGCTCATGATAGTGACGTCATGTCGGGGGCGGAGTCCGAGTTCGCGAGTGACAGTCAGCCACGGTCCCGAGCCACTTCGGTGAGCTTTGCGAGTTTGTTCAAGCAGTGT